GAAATTGTTGTTGATGTAGAATTTTAAGCTATGATATTATTGAATGTTGGAATAGATTTCCCAGGCCTTGTGGCTCTGTTCTTATAAATTACTCTCCAGTGTCAGCTTTGATTTTGCACTCGGGAAGCACAATAGTTAGCTAGCACTGCTGCTTTACAGCACCAGGGACCTGGGTTCAATTCCAGCCTTCAGGTATAGCCGGTGTGCAGTTTGAATGTTCTCCCTATGTCTATGTTGGTTTCCTCTGCTCCAGTTTCATCCCACAGTCCAAAGATGTGCAGGTTAGGTAGATTGGCTTGTCACCGGGAACTACGTGGCAGGACCTGAACACGTGGGTTGTGTCTTGCAGCAATGGCGGTGTGAGCGAGGGCCAGTGAGGCAGTCCAAAGTGACATGCTGGCAGTGGCATGGGGAAGACTGGAAAGCCCAGAGCAGGACTGCAGCAGTGGAAAGGAAATTTGGACTCTTGAGTTCTCTTTTTCTTCTTATCTTATTCTAATTTAATGTGAATGGCACCATTTAGGTATGGCGAAGGTACACACTTTTCGCTGCACCTTTATATTGAATACATGTAACAATAAGTGATTTAATTCAATTCAAAATTCCTCGGTGGCCAGGGATGCGCAGGCTACATGGATTGTGGGAATAGGTTGGGATGCCCTTTGGTGGGTCAGTGCAAACTCAATGGGCCAAATAGCCTTTTTCTACACTATAAGGATTCTATGTCTGGAGTGATTCTTGAACCCAAAACTCTGACTTAGGACCAATAATGTTACTGCTAGGTCACAGTTACATTAAGATTAGAGTGACTTTATACAATGTTTGATTAATTCCTGAGAAGTATGACATACTGCCTAATATTTTTAGGCTATAACACTGTGCCTTGTTGGTCTTACTTGACATTTCTTCATACAAAAATTTTAATGGAGTGTTGAATAAATTGGGAGTTGATGGGACTCAAATAATAAGTTAAAGGGAAATTGAATAAATATTGAAGACAAGGAACGTGTGATTTCTTTTAGATAAGCAGAATAACAAAACACTGTTGAGCATAGACTACAAGATACAGGAGCTGAAGTATGTCATTCCGCCCATCCAATCTGCTCCACTATTTGATCATAGTTATTGTATTTCTTAATCTCATTCTCCTGCCTTCACCCAGTAACTTTTGATTCCCTTACCAATCAAAGATCTCTATCTTAAATATACTCAATGACTTGGCCTCTACAGTCCTCTGCAACAATGAATTCCACAGACACTTCACCCTGGAAGAAATTCTTCCTCATCTCAATTCCAAAGGTCGTCCCTTTACTGAGGATAAGACCTCAGGTTCTAGTTTCACCTACTAGAGGAAACATCTCACATCCACATTATCCAGACCACTCAGTATTTGTAAATTTCAACTAGATCCCCCTCATCCTTCTAAACTCCATTGAATACAGATTCAGAGTCTTTAACCCTTCCTTGTATTATAAGTCCTTCAGTCTTGGGATCATTCTTGTGAATCTCCTCTGGACCCCTAACTGCTTTCAACTTGCTAAATGTTGTCTGACCAGAAGGTTATACAGCCTCAGCAGTACATCCCTGCTCTTGCATTCAAACCGTCTTGAAATGAACATTAACATTGCATTTGCTTTCCTAACTACCAACTGAACATGCATGTTAACCTTAAGAGAATCCTGAACTAGGGCTCCCAAGTCCCTTTGTGCTTCAGATTTCCAAAGCATTTCACCATTTATAAAATAGCTCTTGCCTCTATTCTTCCTCCGCAGGGGAATTATCACGTATTTTCTTATTTTGTATTCTAGCTGCCACTTCTTTGTCCACTCCCCTGGCCTGTCCAAATCCTTCTGCAGCCTCCCAGATTCAATTTCTGTCCTTCCACCTATCTTTGTATCATTGGCAAACTTAGCAACAATGCCTTTCATCCGAATTATTAATATATGACATGCATAGTTCAGGTCCCAAGTCTGACCCCTGTGGAACTCCACCCGTCATTGGCTGTCATCCTGAAAAAGACCCCTATATTCCTACTCTGCCTTCTGCTAGTCAGCCAATCATCTATCTGTGCCAGTACCTTACCCCTAACCCCAAGGGTTTTTATCTTGTTTAGCAGTTTCCTTTGCAGCATCTTATCAAAATCTTTCTGGAAATCCAAGTAGATCATGTCCACTAACTCCCTTTTGTCCAAATTATTCATTACCTCCTTAAATAATTCCAACGGATTTAACTGGCATGACCTTCCCTTATGAAGCTGCGCTGACTCAGTTCTATTCTTTATGCACTTCCAAGTACTTTGCAATCTCATCCTTAACAACGGACCGTAAAATCTTACCAATGACTGAGGTCAAGATAACTGACTTAAAATTTCCTGTCTTCTGCCTCCCTCACTTTTTGAACAGGGGTGTTACATTTGCCATTTCCCAGTGCTCAGGGACCCTAATTCCAGTGATTCATGAAAGATCACTGCCAACTCCTCTACAATCTTCACAGTTATCTCCTTCAGAACTCTAGACCAGGTCATTTATCCACCTTCAGACCTCCCAGCTTCCCCAGTACTTTCTCCTTAGTGATGGCCACTACACTCACTTCTGCCCCAACTCTCTTCGTACACATTCCACAAATTGCTTTTCTTGGTGGATCTGCTACCAGCCTGATTTTTCCAGTCATCCTGCATATTGCAATCCCCCATGATTATTGTAATAGTGCCTTTCTTACATGGCTTTTTAGTAAAAAATTATTTTCTACTCCAAATCCTGACTATCACAAGGAGGACTATATATAACTTCCATCAGGGACTTTTTCCTTTTGTGGTTCCTCAACTCTATCCACAGACTCTATTCTTTCCACCCCATATTGCTTCTTACTATGGATTTGATTTCACTTCTTAAAGGGAAGGCAACCCCGTCCCCTCTGCCCATCCTTTTGATAAGCGTGTATCCTTGGATATTTAGTTCCCAGCCCGATGCCCTTGCAGCCACATCTCTGTGATAGCCTTAACATCGTGCCTGCCAGTTTCAATCTGCGCTACAAGCTCATTTACCTTGTTTTGTATATAGAATGCATTTAAATATAATACTCTTGGTCCTGCATCCTCTTCCCCACCCCGTCCTTCTCAATGTTGCCCCCTCATCTGGTGTGCCTGAAGTTAGAATCCTCACCCTTTACATACTCTGTCCTATTACTTGTTCTGGAAACTTTAACCTCTCCTGAGCCCTATCTAACTAGTTTAAAGTCCACATGACCAACCTAATTAGCCATTCCGCTATGATCCTGCTCTCATATCAGTTCAGGTGGAGCCCATCCCAAAAGGTACAGTTCCTTCCTGTCCCAATACTAATGCCAGTGCCCACAAATTGGAACCTATCTTTCCCACACCACTCCTTTAGCCACACATTTACTGCTCTAGTTTTCGTATCTCTATGCCAATTTGCATGTGACTCAGGTAATGATCCAGAGATTATAACCCTTCAGGTCGGTCCTTCAATTTTGTTGCTCATACCGGATATTCCCCCAACATGGACCACAACAACTGGATCTTCCCGATCCCACTCCAACATCCTTTCAAGTCAACTTGAGATGTCCCTTACCTTGGTACCAAGCAGGCAACACACCATGCAGGACACTCAAACCTGCTTACAATGTATGCTATGTCTCTAATTATAGAATTCCCTACCACTTTTCTTTGTGCTCCTCCTGCTTGAATGGCCTCCTGTAACATGGTGCAGTGATCAGATTGCCCATCCTCCCTACAGTCCTTTCCTGACTCGCACAGGAAGTGATGTCAGGAGCGGAGGCTCCTTCAATACTAAATTAAGTTATTATTTGTAGTCACACCCTCTTATACCTGACCACTGGCCAAAGCTGAAGTACTTAATATACGGAGTGCAACTGCCCACTGGAACACAGCATCCAGATAACTCTCTCCCTCCCTCATGTGCCACTGTGTTTGAAACTCAGACGCCAGATCACCAACTCTGAGCCAGAAGTCCTCAAGCAACCAACGCTTACCACAGATGTAGTGACTATGAACCACAACAGGGTTCACCAGCTCCTACATCATGCAGATACAGCAAATCATCTGATCCTGCATCCCCAAATATTTTAATTCATATTTTAAAATTTCTTACTGGTCCTTAGTTCTTAATCTATAAAATGTTTCTCCAATTTACCTTAAACCGGAAAGTATCCTAGAGTAGATAAACAAATTAGCAGTTGATTACCAATGAAGTAATGACTTTGTGTGTGATGTTACTCTTTTCTCCCCACCATTTCTTATGCTTGAGGCTCCTTCCCTGCAGGCTCCTCTCTCTCTCTCTCGCCAGGCTCCCAGCCAAGTGCACAGACCTTAAGACTTGGTCTCAATTCTATTTCCTTCTCATCACTTTCCCCTTATGCCCCAAATTCCCTAAAACCAATCCTAGATATTAAAGAGCATATATACTCATCAGTGAGAGAAAAGGAAAGACTGAGCACTTCCTCACTCTTTCACCTAACTCCTTATTTCACTAAGCTCCAGTTACACTCCAGTGCAACAAAACAGCATTCCAGTTCAGACAAGACAGCACTGAAAGAGCCTTCTTTTTATGGCCCCTAATTCAAAGCCTTCTGTAACTGGATTAAACCGGTTGTGTAATTAACTTGTTTCAGTTGAGTGCCTGTTTTAAAGCTGCAATTAAACTGCACGCAAAAGAGCAGCTAATTGCTAAATTAAAGAACAGCCTAGACTTTAGATTGAAATTAGCCCTTAAATTAAATTATTTCTTAAAACTTGCCCCTTGAGTCTCCATGTTTCACCAAACTCCAGTTACACTCAAAAGCAACATTATAGCAAATTTATGCATAAATTGGATTTAAATGTACTGTTTTCTATTTTCTGATTTTTAAAAAATTTGACATTAAATAGGCAATGAAGATCATTTACCCTTTAGACCCATGAACTGTTACCTATTCTATTTTCCATTGATTTTATCTGAGTAAGACCAATGTACATCACTTACCTTTATTTGAACAATCACAGTCGCTAAACCTGGAGGCATGCTTTCCCCATTGTCCAGTGCCTCGACGACGAAAGTATAGCTTGCATCTGCAGTCGACAGAGATTCGTAATCCACAGTCTCTAAAATTGACAATTCTCCTGTCCCCTGATTGACAGAAAACAATTTTCTGGCCTCATCTGTTCTTATACGATAAGTTGTATTTGCACCAAGATCAGCATCTGTTGCCTGAAACAAAACAAAATGATGAAATGTAATACACATGTTGGTCAATTCAGCGCACTTAATAACTGAGGTGTTAAAGAAGAAAAATAGCTTGATGTACATAATCACTGTATTTATCTATTTGAAGAACCAAAGACAGAAATCAGATGAGACGACTTGCAAATGTATAGGATATGAGAAACAAGGACCATAGAAGACAAATAATAATGAGGTTAATTGGTTGCATAAATTGAACCAATTTTTACCATTTGTTGAGAAACAATTAAGAACCAATTTCAATAGTTTTAACAATTATCATCAAAATTGTGGTTAAGCAAAATTGAGAGGGAGGCGATGGCCTAGTGGTATTATTGCTGAACTGTTATTCCAGAGACCCAGATAACATTCTAGGAACTTGAGTTCAAATCCTGCCTTGGCAGATGGTGGAATTTGAATTCAATAAAAAATCTGGAATTAAGAATCTAATGATGACCACGAATCCATTGTCAATTGTTGGGGAAAAATCCCATTTGGTTCACTAATATCCTTGAGCCTACAGGTGACTCCAGACCCACAGCAATGAGGTTGACTCTGAACCCATCAATTAGGGATGGGCAATAAATGCTGCCTAGCTAGCGATGCTTACATCCTACTAATGAATAAAGAAAATTCTGAAATGTTGGAGGATCCTGTTAACTTTGGTGGGAGCTGATTGATCAATTACACACATCAAATTCTCCTTTGCATTGATATAAATTATTCACATTGTCCCATTATAAACCCCTTCCGAAATTCGAAGTTCTGACTACGATGTAATTGACAGAGGAAAGAAATTTACTCTTTCATGGTGTGCCTGAGTTACTGCCTCTTTCACACAACTTAAGCAGTTACATTTCAATGTAACTAATAAAATTGTTGAAAGCTTCAGTAATTGATTGTCGAGCATGGAATGTCATCCTATGTAAAGGCTTTGCTAAAACTGAGGAAATCACATTTTAAGAGTGTCTGCAAAAGTGTTTTATTCTCTAGTTGGCAATTCATCTTCAAAAAAGAACTGAGTTCTTCCTTTGGAAGTCAAAGTTAGGTCGAGTAAAGGTTAATAAAAAGGAACAATTTGAGAATGTGCTCTGTAAGTGATCTCCTAAATTACCCTCATCTTATTTTATATTAAAATATAACTCCAACAGAACAACAGTATATTATGTATAACAGGCAAGAAACAAAGTTGAACATACTAAGGAAACACCATTATAAATGTGCTTCACATTGTGAACTGATCAATTAGAAAAGCAAGTTTCTTCTGACCAGAGATTCTTTAACATAGAAGCTCACTTTAATATAAGGACAATTGTTGGGAGTGTAGTCAAAATTTAAATAAAGATCGCAAGGCATCAGTGTCAATAAAATACTCTGATAGTAGGATTGTAAATTTCACGTTAGTACTGATGTATATTAAAAAGCTCCACTGCTCCCATCAAAAGCCATTATTTCCCTTTCATATATTTTAATATTTGGGATATATTAAATGAGATTATGTAAAAGTAATGATGCAAAGCAGCATATTTGACATTTAATTTAATCAAGCTTGATTACATTCTGTAATTTGGAAGAAAAACATACTTGTTTCGTCATTTTACAATTCCTATCTCATTTTGAGTAGCAGGGTTATGAGATTTGTAATAAACACTGATATTGTGTAAATCTCACAACAGAGAACCTCACAGAAATGAAACACATTGCTGACATCAAGCTTATTATTTGGTTTTGATGATAAATTATACAAGATGATGCCAAAAGTGCTTTACAGTACAATATGCTAGTTGGGTTTAAGGTATCTAAGGAAGTCTCTTGCGATTGAGACAGGTTTACAATTTTCACGTCAATGAATCTGCACCTGGCAGAAGTGCTGTATGTGGTTCCAGCTGTTTTGATTTAGGTGGAGTGGGAAATTGTCCTTATGTACAGGTATTCAAGTAATCGATTTGGGACTTGAGCTCAAAGTTTGAATTTACTCAGCCTTATTCCTCACTTTACTCATTAATTCCATTAGAAACAACTCAAATCTGTGTCTTGGAGACAGTAAGAACTGCAGATTTGGGAGTCGGAGACAACACAGTGTGGAGCTGGAGGAACACAGCAGGCCAGACAGCATCAGAGGAAGAGTAGTCCCGACCCGAAATGTCAACTTTCCTGCTCCTCTGATGCTGCCTGACCTGCTCTGTTCCTCCAGCTCCATACTGTGTTATCTCTAATCTGTGCTCCAGCGTAAATCTCAGAAGACCACAGGCAATATAAGAACATTGCTCTATTTGGGTAAGTGTCATGATTTGTTTTATGCATCATGATCTTGTGATTGCTTAGGTCAAAGACTTTTAGCAATATTGTGAGTGTCCTTATTTACTGAGTGCTGAAACTCTCTTTCTCCTTATGATCTCACTCTTAATACGTGAAGAACATATTAGCATGATACACAGTCTAGGTATATTGAGCTTAATTTTAACACCACAAGCTGGTGAGTTTTGGATGGATTAAAATTGGGTGCATAATCTCTGCTTGGAAGTGGTCTTTCAGTCAGTATTCTGCAGTATTCCCTTTCTGCTTCTGTAGGCATCCCAACAGTACCAGAAAAGGAATAGTCTGGTGATAATACCACTTGGTCATCACTTCCCCATTTGGATTAGAATACTATTTTAACCCACTGCATTTAACAATGACAATAATGTCTTAATGATGAACATTCGTACATTCTTAACTTTTGTTGCACTTACTATTTTTGTTTTTGAAATTCAGATAGAAACAGGCACAGTATTTTAATAATCTATACTACATAAGATCTGCCCTTCAGCAGTCGGCTGATTGTCAAATAATGAGTTCTGATTTTGCATGGCTACATATACTATTTTAATAATTTCCTTATTCAGTTTAAGATGAATAGATTAAGATTGTTCAAAGTGGAGGATACAGGGACAAGATATGAATGTGCCTGCATGAATTTCTTTCATACAGCAATAACATTGTTTAAATGTTGTAGAGTGTAAAATGTAACTCCCTCCCCACCCATGTGTCATAATTCCCAGTCGATCTATATGTGTACACAACTTAAATAGCCCAGCTGTCCAACATGCCAGCAATTTCAAGACCTCCATGTATCCATAAGAAATATCATCACAATTACATTCAAATCAGATAGCCTAAGAAACATACACGAGTGAATTGCAAAATTCAAGTGGACAACAGCATCAAGATTTTCAAGATAAGAGCTACTGGAAATCCATTTCGTTGTTCATTTTCTTTAGCTCTTTCCAAGTGCAGTCACTTGGCAGTTGTTCAATAGAACCTGAATTTGGTCTGTTTTTTTTCCTTTATTCTTAACAGGATGAGGACGTCACTGGCTAGGCAGCATTTATTGTCCATCACTAATTGTTCAGAGGGAAGTTCAGAGTCAACCACATTGCTGTGGGTCTGTAGGCCAGACCAGGTAAGGATGGCAGTTTTCTTCTTTAAAGGACATTAGTGAACCAGATGGGTTTTCCCTGATAATTGGCAATGGATTCATGTTCATCATTAGATTCTTAATTCCAGATATTTTATTGAATTCAAATTCCACCATCTGCCATGGCGGGATTTGAATCCAGGTTCCCAGAATGTTATCTGAGTCTCTGGATTAACAGTCCAGTGATAATACCACTAGGTCATTGCCTTCCCCTTAGATGTAGCGAGGATGCAATGCTGTTTCTCACCCAAACCGAAAGCTGTTGTAAAAGGAGGAAAACCTTGCATTTATATAGTGCCTTTCATGATGTTAGGGTTTCCCAAAGCAGTTTGCAGGCAATAAAGGCATTGATCCTCTTTGCATGGTATAACAGGAATGCAGTGACCCACCAGATTAAGTCAGGTGAGTGTTATGATTACTTTGTTTTTGCATTGTGGTATTATGATTGATTAGATCAAAGATTGTTCTTAGCTGTCAATAACCACTGCGCAAGAATTCTCCTGTGGCTCTGCTGGTATTTGTTGCACAGGGGAACAGTTTTGTTTAAAATGCATCAACATTATTTGGGTCAATTTTTTTTTTGTTGAGCATCTTCCAAATTAATCTATAAAGTCTTTTGATAAGTTGGCAATAATTGTTGAGGGAAATTAAATCACCAGGCTGCTGCAATAATCTTCTATTCAAATTGTGTACACAGATGGATCAATGGGAACTATGACACATTTAAACAGTATTATTGCTATATGAAATAAATTCATGCAGGCACATTCATATCTTGTCTCTGTATCTCCACTTTAAACAATCTTAATCTATTCATCTTAAACTGAATAAGGAAATTATTAAAATAGTACATGTAGCCATGCAAAATCAGAACTCATTATTTGACAAACAGCCGACTGCTGAAGGGCAGATCTTATGTAGTATAGATTATTAAAATACTGTGCCTCTTTCTATCTGAATTTCAAAAACAAAAATAGTAAGTGCAACAAAAGTTAAGAACATACAAATTTTCATCATTAAAACATACTTGTCATTATTAAATGCAGTGGCTTAAAATGATATTCTAACCCAAATGGGGAGGCGATGACCAAATGGTATCATCGCCAGATTTTAATCCAGTCACCCAGTCAACTTTCTAGGGCTATAGGTTTGAATTCTGCCATGGCGGATAGTGGAATTTGGATCCAATAAAAATCTGTAATTAAGTCTAACGTAATCATAAAACCATTGTCAATAGTTGTAAAAACCCATCTGGATCACTAATGCCCCTTAGAGAGGGAAATCTGCCATTCTTACCAGGTCTGGCCTACATGGGACTTCTGACCTGCTGCAATGTTGTTAACTCTTAACAACTCTTGGCTGAAGAAGATCTTAGTTCAAGGGGCAATTAGGGATGGGGCAATAAACGCTGGCCTTGTCAGTGATGCCCACAGCCCATGAAAGGCATAGGCAGAATAGGATCTACAAGATCGAAAGCTGCAGGCAAGATGCCAGTTCAGCATTAGAAGCATTTGCGTGCTACTGACACATG